GACCGGTGCTGTGGTATGTGCTGAGCCCATCTGGACCCCAGGATCCCTTCAGCATAGGTCGCTATGGAGGCCGCCTCTCCCTCACGGGCCCCCTGGACTTTGAGCAATGTGACCGCTACCACTTGCAGCTGCTGGCACATGATGGGCCTCATGAGGGCCATGCTAACCTCACAGTGTTTGTGGAGGATGTCAATGACAACGCACCTGCCTTCTCCCAGAGCCTCTACCAGGTACTGATGCCCCGAGCTGACCCCACACCTGGGCCCAGGGTTGTTCACGTTGGAAGTGGCCAGGCTAGAAGTGTCTGAGGTGGGCTGGGTGTTGGAACTGACCTGAGGATGGAGCCCTGAGGATGGGAGGGTCCCATCTCAAACTAGCCTTCCAAGTCCTAGAACTTTGTCCAGGTTCTTCATCCTGTGCTTAGAAATGGAGGAAGGTGGGCAGTTTAGACATTGAGCATGGGCTTCAAGATGGCATGGATGATGGATGCCAAGCAGGCTTCATGGGACCAAGCCCCAGAACATAGGCTGAGTGGACAATAGGGCAGCTGGGAAACTTGGCCATAAACACTTTTCCTCACTCCCCAGGTGACACTGCTTGAACACACACCTCCAGGCAGTGCCATTCTCTCCGTCTCTGCCACTGACCAGGATTCAGGAGCCAATGGTCACATTTCCTACCACCTGGCTTCCCCTGCTGAGGGCTTCAGTGTTGACCCCAACAATGGTACGTCCTTCCCAGGATCTGACCCCCTTATCTTTGACCATGACCGGCCATATTTTTACTCCATTCCTAGAATTTGTCTGAATTCTTAACTCCTGGATCTCTGACCCAGTGAGAAGATCCCCCCCCCACCTCCCTGTCTCTATTTTAAGCTTTGTCCTGACTGCATGTCAAAAGCCATTTCATAAATCCTGGAGATCATTCCATAAACTCCCAGCACACAGGCCATTCCATGGAGTCTGACTTCCAAAGCCATTTCCTAGGCCCCCAAAGGATCACCCTCTGCTCACTTACAGGCTGTGCTGAATGCATATTTCTCTCCACTCCCTTCTCATCTCAGGGACCTTGTTCACAACAGTGGGAACAGTGGCCTTGGGCCAGGAGGGGCCAGGAGTGGTGGACGTGGTGCTGGAAGCACGAGATCATGGGTTGCCAAGCCGGGCAGCACGAGCCACAGTGCATGTGCAGCTGCAGGACCAGAATGACCATACCCCTAGCTTCACATTGCCACACTACCGTGTGGCTGTGACTGAAGATCTGCCCCCTGGTTCCACCCTGCTCACCCTGGAGGCCACAGACGCCGATGGAAGCCGCACCCATGTCACCATGGACTATAGCATCGTCAGTGGCAACCGGGGCCGAGTCTTCCAGCTAGAACCCCGGCTGGCTGAGACTGAGGAAGGTAGTGGACTAGGCCCCCGGGCACTGGGCTGCCTAGTGTTGCTTGAGCCTCTAGACTTTGAAAGTTTAACCCAGTACAACTTGACTGTGGCTGCAGCTGACCGGGGGCAGCCCCCGCGGAGTTCAGCCGTGCCTGTCACTGTCACTGTGCTGGATGTCAATGATAACCCCCCTGTCTTCACTCATGCGTCATACCGCATGGCAGTTCCCGAGGACACACCCGTTGGAGCTGAGCTGCTGCATGTGGAGGCCTCTGACGCTGACCCAGGTCCTCATGGCCTTGTGCGTTTCACCGTTAGCTCAGGCGACCCTTCTGGCCTCTTCGAACTGGATGAGAGCTCAGGTGCCTTGCGACTCGCCCGCCCCTTGGACTGTGAGACCCAGGTTCGACATCAACTTGTAGTGCAGGCTGCTGACCCTGCTGGGGTACACTTTGCTCTGGCACCAGTGACCATCGAGGTCCAGGATGTGAATGACCATGGCCCCATCTTCCCGCTGAGCTTGCTCAGCACCAGCCTGGCAGAGAATCAGCCTCCAGGCACTCTTGTGACCACTCTGCATGCGATTGATGGGGATGCTGGGGCTTTCGGGAGGCTCCACTACAGCCTGCTGGAGGCCGGGCCAGGACCTGAGGGCCGCGAGGCATTTGCGCTGAACAGCTCAACAGGGGAGTTGCGGGCACGAGTGGTCTTTGACTATGAGCACACTGGAAGCTTCCAGCTGCTGGTGGGTGCTGCTGACGCTGGGAATCTCTCAGCCTCTGTCACTGTGTCAGTGCTGGTGACAGGGGAGGATGAGTATGACCCAGTATTCCTGGCTCCAGCTTTCCACTTCCAAGTGCCAGAAGGTGCCCGGCGTGGCTATAGCCTGGGTCATGTGCAGGCCACAGATGAGGATGGAGGTGCTGATGGCCTGGTGCTCTACTCCCTTGCCACTTCTTCCCCCTATTTTGCTATCAACCAGACTACAGGCGCCCTGTACCTTCGAGTGGATAGCCGGGCACCAGGCAGTGCAACAGGCACTTCTGGGAATGGAGGCCGGACACGGCGTGAGGCACCACGGGAGCTGAGGCTGGAGGTGGTGGCACGGGGTCCTCTACCCGGTTCCCGGAGTGCCACAGTGCCCGTGACTGTGGATATCACCCACACTGCACTAGGCCTGGCACCCGACCTCAACCTGCTGTTGGTGGGGGCTGTGGCGGCCTCCCTAGGAGTTGTGGTGGTGCTTGCACTTGCAGCCCTGGTCCTGGGGCTGGTGCGGGCCCGTAGCCGCAAGGCTGAGGCAGCACCTGGTCCAATGTCACAGGCAGCACCCCTGGCCAGTGGCTCTCTGCAGAAGCTAGGCCGAGAGCCACCCAGCCCACCGCCCTCAGAGCACCTTTATCACCAGACACTCCCCAGCTATGGTGGGCCAGGAGCTGGAGGACCCTACCCCCGAGGTGGCTCCTTGGACCCTTCACACTCCAGTGGCCGAGGCTCAGCAGAGGCTGCAGAGGATGACGAGATCCGCATGATCAATGAATTTCCACGTGTGGCCAGTGTGGCTTCTTCCTTGGCTGCCCGTGGCCCTGACTCTGGCATCCAGCAAGATGCAGATGGACTGAGCGATACATCCTGCGAGCCACCTGCCCCCGACACCTGGTATAAGGGCCGCAAGGCAGGGCTGCTGCTGCCAGGTACAGGAGCCACTCTGTACCGAGAAGAGGGCCCACCAGCCACTGCCACAGCCTTCCTCGGGGGCTGTGGCCTGAGCCCTGCACCCACCGGGGACTATGGCTTCCCAGCAGATGGCAAGCCATGTGTGGCAGGTGCACTGACAGCCATTGTGGCTGGTGAGGAGGAGCTCCGTGGCAGCTATAACTGGGACTACCTGCTGAGCTGGTGCCCTCAGTTCCAGCCACTGGCCAGTGTCTTCACAGAGATTGCCCGGCTCAAGGACGAAGCTCGGCCATGTCCCCCGGCTCCCCGTATTGACCCGCCGCCCCTCATCACTGCTGTGGCCCACCCAGGAGCCAAGTCTGTGCCCCCGAAGCCAGCCAGCACGGCAGCAACCCGGGCTATCTTCCCACCAGCCTCTCACCGCTCCCCTATCAGCCATGAAGGCTCCCTATCCTCAGCTGCCATGTCTCCCAGCTTCTCACCCTCACTCTCTCCTCTGGCTGCTAGGTCACCCGTTGTCTCACCATTTGGGGTAGCCCAGGGTCCCTCAGCCTCAGCTCTCAGTGCAGAGTCCGGCCTGGAGCCACCTGATGACACAGAGCTGCACATCTAGCTGTGGCCCAGGCTGGGCCCCGACCTGGGATGCGCACAGTGTCCCCAATGCAGGCCCCATCTGAGCCTGCCCTCGGCAGCCTCGGACCATGACTGACCACGGGGGAGGCCAGCTTCCCATCCTAAACCCCTCCAGTAGGGGCAGGTCCCACGTCTCACCCAGCTCTGTCAGAGCACAGTGCCACAGAGGCTCTGTGGGGGTACTGACCTGGGGACAGGTCCAATGTGGGGAGAAATAAGGAGGCAGCAGCCCTGGGTTCTCCTCAGTGAGGGCTTCCTGCCCTGCACCAGCACCCTGAGGTGGAGCTGAGACTTTATTTATTGGGGGGCAGGGGGATGGGGGAGGTCCATCCAACTTGTTTGGGCCCAGCTCTCTTGGGTTCTACTGACACCCCTGCCCCTGCACAGAACCAAGTGCCAATTCTCACTCTGGAGCCTTAATAAACTGCAGTTTGTATCCAGTGTCCGGCTGTATTCTGTGGGGGCCATAGGGATGGGGGATAATTGCAAGACAACTGATACACTGTGGACACCTCAGGAGGCACGGAGGGGTGGTGGACACAGGGGCATCTAGGGTGGGGACAGCACTGGGAACCCAAGCCTGAGGCTGATGGTCACATCTCTGCAGTTGGCCTTTCCCATTCACAAGGGTTGGAAGGCAGACAGCAGGAGCTTCCTTGAGGCAGTGACCTAGAGAGGAATTGGCTGGGTGAGGAAGGATCTTGGGGATAACCAGCTAGGCCTGAGGATCCATGTGTAAGAAAAGCTCACGTCTTTTAAGCCTTTGCCACACCAGGCTCTCTGCTGAGCAGTGTTCCTGTTTTATCTCTGTAAATGTTCACTGCAATCCCACAAGGCAGAGCACTTTAGATCTAACCACTACCATATTCTAAACGAAACCTACGCTCGGAGAAGTTGGGTGGCTTTCTTGATACTGTACAACTAAGGAGGAACCCCGGTCTGTAGGTCTGTGTGCCCCAGATCACTTCTTTTTTTTTTTTTTTTTTTTTAAGATTTTATGTATTTATTTGACAGAGATAACAAGTAGGTAGAGAGGCAGGCAGAGAGAGTTGGGGAAGCAGGCTCCCTGCTTAATCCACAAGCCACCCAGGTGCCCCACCAGAGCCCCTTTCTTAAGTGCTCCCCTATACCCCTTGGTGAGTGCCAGCTGGCCTCTAGCAGCTAGGGGGAGCCCTGTATGAACCCAGTGGTCTGGGAGCCACAGAAGAAGGATCCAGTCGCAGCCCCACCCATTTGGAGGAGGAGCCAGCAGGGCACCAGTTTCTAGGCAGCCACGTGGTGGTGGTGGTGGTGGTGGTGGAATATAAGGCTCATGTGATCTGTCACATGACAGCGGATCTCCAGAAAGGCAGCATGAGACTCCGAACCTGGTGAGAAATTAGGGGACCCCAGGAGGAGGGTGGGAATACAGTGGCAGTCCAGCTCCCGCTGAAACCCGCCTGCCGCCTCTGCAGTTTCCTAGGGCTCCTTGCCCTCTTCGTCTCCAGCAAATGCAGTTACAGCCCGGAGCCGGACCAGCAGCGGACGTGAGTTGACTTAGCACACACTGCCCCCTTCCCTAGGCCCTGTCCTGTGCCCACTGTCTTGGCCCAGACTCCCTCACCCCTTACCAGCTCCTGGTATCCACTCCATAGTCTTATCCCCAGGTTCCCAGGCTCAGTCCCCAATCATTCACCTCCTGTGAGCCATATCTGCCTCTGGAATCCTGCCCCAGGTCTCAGCCCTTAATCCTGAACCTTCCATGACTAATGTTTCCCATCCCCACACTAACAAAGCCCATGTTCCTGACCTCTGACCCTGCAGGTTGCCCCCAGGCTGGGTGTCCCTGGGCCGTGTAGACTCCGAGGAAGAGCTGAGTCTCACCTTTGCCCTGAGACAGCAGAACGTGAAAAGATTGTCCGAGCTGGTGCAGGCTGTGTCGGATCCTGGCTCTCCTCATTATGGTGCCTATGGGAATAGGGATTGGGACTGGGAAGTGGGATGTTGTGAAAGGACCCCAGGCTGGGCTGACTGTGGGATGGCACACATAACGTCAAAGTCAGGCTCTTGGTGCCTAGGAAGGTGGTGATACAGGGCAGTTGAATGGCTGTGGCTCTCGAGCAGTTTCTGAATTTAATAAAAGGGATCTGGAAGTAAACTGTCTAAAACTCACTCAAATTCTTGCCCCCAAAACTTTTCAACTATGTTTATCAGGCTTGAAACCTGAAAGTTAAGAGCACAGGCTGTGAGAGCAAATCTGGATTCAAATGCTGACTCTACTACTTAGCAGACACATGGGAAGTAGTACCCAGTACAGATAGGTGCTCATTCCCCACCCTCAAAACCACACCCGTTTCCTCCTCCAGTCAGGCTCCAGAACTCTCATTTCCAGTTCTGGCTCTCAAAGAGCCTTTGGAGTCATCTGCTTTTTACCATTGCTTGTAACTGCCCACTCATTTGTTTATTCTTGCACCCAGACTGCTGCCCAGTCCCCAGTGGTCCACCCCACTCCCCACTCTGCTCCCTACTCTGCTCTAAAACAGTGCTCTGTTCCAGTGGTCATGCTGGATGGCGTCCCTCCCTTGCATGAAGCCCTTCATGGTTGGGGAGGCACTGGTATGTGTGTGAGAGGGCAGTCTCAGATTCACCCTGGAGCTGTGTACATGGCACTGTGCAGGAAAACAGTGACTCACCATCATGTTAAGCTTAAAATCAACAAGTATGAAGACTGGAACTGAATTAGATGTTACCTTATAATTGGTTCTAAAAGTTTGGAAAACTTTTCCTGGAAATAAACTTAATATGGAAAATTTTAATTTTTAACCTCATTTGTTGTTTGTAATTATGGCAATACATGCTCTGATGCAGCATTTGCAACCTTCTGGCCTTTAGGGAAAATCCATATTTCTGGCCATGGCATTCCAAGTCTCCTCCCCAGCCTTTTCTTCCCCTGGCCCCCAAATATAGCTTTCACCTGCACAGCCTGCCTTTGTGCTAGAAAGTTTCCACTTATCCCTGAAGACCCTGTTCCAGGGCCCCTGGGAAATTCCAATGTCTCCTGGTTGAGGTCCAAAATGAGCAACTTGGAAAAGCAATGAATGAAGGCAAGATCCTCTATTGAATTCCTGCAGGAAAATACCTGACCCTAGAGGATGTGGCTGAACTGGTCCGGCCATCACCACTGACCCTCCGCACAGTCCAAAAATGGCTCTTGGCAGCTGGAGCCCGGAACTGCCACTCAGTGACCACACAGGACTTTCTGACCTGCTGGCTGAGTGTCCGGTGAGACTGAAAGATTGCCCCATGGAGGGTACCAGTCATGCCATCAGGGAAACGAGTCACCCCAATGGGAGAGAGCTGAGAGCTGGTGGGTGCTTGTGGGTGAGAGCTAACAGGGAGATAAGGATGAGCAGTGATGCTCAGGTAGCTTCCTCTGCTCTGGTCTGTGGTTTCTGATCTCTGTTCTCTGATCTCTGACCTCCAGACAGGCAGAACTGCTGCTCTCTGGGGCTGAGTTTCATCGCTATGTGGGGGGACCAGCAGAGATCCATGTTATAAGGTCCCCACGTCCATACCAGCTCCCGAAGGCCTTGGCCCCTCATGTGGACTTTGGTAACACCCAGCGGGGTTGGTGGGTTTGAAGCAGGCAGAACCAGGGGCTGGAAAAGTTTAGGTGCCATGGGGGGCTTGGGGTGGGGTCAGTGGTAAAGTCGGGGTTGGAGTCTAAAAGATCTCCTCCTTAAGCCTGACCCCTCCTCACAGTGGGCGGGCTGCACCGCTTTCCCCCCACATCATCCCTGAGGCAACGCCCTGAGCCACAGGTGTCAGGGACAGTTGGCCTGCACCTGGGGGTGACCCCATCCGTGATCCGTCAGCGATACAACTTGACAGCACAAGACGTGGGCTCCGGCACAACCAACAACAGCCAAGCCTGTGCCCAGGTGAGCTGGGCAGACACCTCCAGGGTCCTGACACCCTATCCAAGATGCCTCTCCAGGCTGGGCCTTGTTCTCTGACTCCTCCCCTGGGTCCTCACCTCCTATCTGGAATAGTGTCCCCTGCCCTGACCTTGCAGCTGCATCCTCTGACCCATGATACCTGCTCTGATTCCTTCTGTAGTTCCTGGAGCAGTATTTCCATGACTCGGACCTGGCCGAGTTCATGCGCCTCTTTGGTGGGAACTTTGCGCACCAGGCATCAGTAGCCCGTGTGGTCGGAAAACAGGGACGGGGCCGGGCCGGGATTGAGGCCAGTTTAGATGTGGAGTACCTGATGAGTGCCGGTGCCAACATCTCCACCTGGGTCTACAGTAGCCCAGGTACTGCCAAGGGAATTGGTGGGTGGGGAGACTGGTGGTGGTGAGTGGTGATCACTGCTCCCTCAAGGGAATCCCGTAAGCTAGAGGGAGACCCTGGCAACCTTCCAAAGGACCGCCCTTGTGCTCCTCCCCTCACCCCAAATCCAGGCCGGCATGAGTCACAGGAGCCCTTCCTGCAGTGGCTCCTGCTGCTCAGTAATGAGTCAGCCCTGCCACATGTACACACTGTGAGCTATGGAGATGATGAGGACTCCCTCAGCAGCGTCTACATCCATCGGGTCAACGCTGAGCTCATGAAGGCGGCCGCTCGGGGTCTTACCCTGCTCTTTGCTTCAGGTGACCTCCTACGCTAAACTTAGACCTTAACTCACCAGGAGTTTTGACCCCACAGGGAGCCCTGTGATCTCTGACTTACAATCTGAACTCAATAGGGACCACTCATCTGACCTCTAAACTCTAACCTCTTACAGTAATGACTAACTCTTGACTTCCATCTTTGACATCTGAACCCATATATCAAGCTCTGACCAATTAATCTGAGTGCTAAACTTGGTCTTTCTCCCAGGTGACAGTGGGGCTGGGTGTTGGTCTGTGTCTGGACGACACCAATTTCGTCCCAGCTTCCCTGCATCCAGGTAAGCACCCCAACCCACCACTTACCTGTGACCACCAGTCTTCCGTCTATGGGTCCATGATCTGGAACTTTTGCCTTGAAGCCACCAGGTGCTTCTGTAGCTAAGACCTCAATTTAACCAGCTCTGATTGCTGCATTCCCTTCTTCCTATAGGTCTAGGCCTCATGGCTTCTGAGTGGAATGCATTTCCCAGTATTCCTCTTCTCAGTTCCAGGCATTTTAGTAGAAGATTTGGTGAATGTTCTGTAGACAAAAGGATACACTGTTACCTCAGGCCATGCCTTGAGGGCTCAGAATCTTTTAGTCTTCCCCATGTACCTGCTCCCCCACAGAGTCTAGCCCCTCTATCAAGAGCTAGCTCATACTTACCCATCTCCATACATTTTGGAGGTCCTCTTGGGACCCATACAATCTGTGCTGTTTTCTGCTCTCAGCCCCTATGTCACCACGGTGGGAGGCACATCCTTCCAGAATCCATTCCGAGTCACAAGTGAGATCGTTGACTATATCAGTGGTGGTGGCTTCAGCAATGTGTTCCCACAGCCTTCATACCAGGTATGTGTATGTGATAGTGTGGATGGATGGGTGGGAGGGATCCTCTGTCAGCAAACAATACTCACTCAACAACATCTTTCAGGAGGAAGCTGTAGCCCAGTTCCTCAGCTCCAGTCCCCACTTACCACCATCCAGTTATTTCAATGCCAGTGGCCGTGCCTATCCAGATGTGGCTGCACTCTCTGATGGCTACTGGGTGGTCAGCAACAGCGTGCCCATTCCATGGGTATCTGGCACTTCGGTAAGAAATCAGCCTGGGTCCAAACCCCCTACTCAGAAACTATCCTCACCCTCTATAAGACCTTTTACCCAGAATCCCTGACTCCTCAGAGACCTCTGATCCTTTCAAACATCCCTCCCTCAAATCCAATCACTCTGAACCCCTAACCTCCATTTATTCCTTCATTCTTCCAGGCCTCTACTCCAGTATTTGGTGGGGTCCTATCCCTGATAAATGAACACAGAATCCTCAACGGCCGTCCCCCTCTTGGCTTTCTCAACCCAAGGCTCTACCAGCAGCGTGGAGCAGGACTCTTCGATGTGAGTACGGAAGGAAGGGTGTGGACATTTTTATGAATATGGGGAGTTCAAAGATGAACTTGAGGGCAGTTCTGATGGGGTACTGAAATGTAAATACAAGGTAAGGGAGCTTAGTCTGTTAGTGCTGGTACGGACAGGCCTAGGTCTGATGCCTGCCTTCTCCCTAGGTAACCCATGGCTGCCATGCGTCCTGTCTGAATGAAGAGGTGCAGGGACAGGGTTTCTGCTCTGGCCCTGGCTGGGATCCTGTGACAGGCTGGGGAACACCTAACTTCCCAGCTCTGTTGAAGACATTAATCAATCCTTGACTCTTTCTTGCCGGGAGAGTGAACCTGTCCCCTGCCCCATAGCTAGTGGCTTGGTCACTTATTCTACACTGTTGGAAGCCCTGCTGAACCTTCAACCATAGACTGCTGCAGACAGCTTATCCCCCTAACCCTAAAATGCTGTGAGCTTGACTTGACTCTCAACTCTACCCTGCTCCATCATGCTCAGGTCTCCCTACTCCTGCTTCATGTTTCTCTAAAGATGCTGTAACTAGTATTGTTTGGGAGCCTCCCCACTCCCAACACCCCCCCCCCCCACCAACCTTTTCTTTCTCTTTTCATCCAGGCTTTTTCTAAGAGTTGTCTATGCTGTTTCTCTTCATGCTGTCTCCTCAGTTCATTGCACCTTCTTCAGCTTTCAGGGCTTAACTTCTTTTCCCACCATTCCCACTTCCTCCTTCATTCCCTCTTCCCCTTTCACTTTCTCTTCTTTCTCACTGAATGTTGATATACGTCACTGCTTCATCTTTACCCTTCTGCTCTTTTCAATCTACCCAAAGTTTCCTGGAACAAATCAGTCACCTGTATCCACAGCTATCACCGTCTCACTAAATCAGACTGTTGGACAATGATTCCTCAAATGCAAGGTGTATGATACTCAATACTTCATCTTCCTCCTTCCCAATTCCAGACCATTCTCTGGTGTTCCTTCTTGGTAAATGAGACTATGCTGCTTCCAGTCAAGCCAGAAGCCTAAGTGTTATCCTAGACTCCCTATTCCTTACCTTCCCCTTCCCACTACCACTGTCAATCAATAAGTCCTACTGATTTCACTTCTTAAATATATCTTTATCAATCCACAAGTCCTGCCAATTACATTTCCTAAGTATACCTAGAACTCATTTACTTTTCTCCATCTCTACTGCTACTAAATTAGCTTAGAACCATTATTTTCTCTTCTCTGAATTGTAGGAGGCCCTTGAAAAGATGTCCTCACTTCCTGCATGCTCACAAAACCATTTTTCCAGAGTAAAATGCAAATCCCATCAGGTCATTTACTTAAAACCCTTCAAAGATTACTGATAAAGTTCGGGTTTTTGCTATGACTCACAAACCTGATCCTTTCCTTGCTATTTGTTCCTGAGTAACAAATTGCTTATTCTCCCTCACCCTTCCTCCACTTCCTACTTTCGCTTTTGCTTAAGATATTCTGTGCCCTTAACATGACTCCCTTTGCCTGTTTGGTTTCCAGGATTCTTTGAACACCCCACTCAGAAGCCGCCTTCTGTGAACCTTTGGCTCTCTGCAGCTAGCTGATTTTTGTATAGTAGAAAATGACTTGGTATAGCAGAAAAATCCCAGATTTTTTCAAACCAAGCCTGTTTGATTCTTGGTTCTGATGTAGACTAGGAAAGAGACTTGGAGAAGTCCATCTCCGAGTCTTTTACCTCCTCTGTTAAGTGGGAATATCAATACCTGCCTCTAACAATAATTAATAATAATTAAATGGAATGAAGTTGATAGAGTGCCTGACACAAAGAAGTAGGCAGCAGATGTTAGGTCCCTTCCTCCTTTGCACTGCGTACTGTGTGTCTACCTCTAGTATTGTAACTCCAACCTAGTATTGAAAATGCCAGTTTACCTCTTTGCCTCCCTTTCCAAGACTGTTGGTGCCTAGAGGACTAGAATCTTGTCCTACTTAACTTTGTACTCCCAGGCCCTAGCTCAGGATTGGCAAATAGGAATTAAATAAATGTTTGTTGCGTTGAAAACCCCACCCTCCCTGGTGATTTTGCATGTTGTTTACTCAAACTGAAATACCTCTCTTCCTGTCTACAGCAGCTCTGTTCGCTTCCCTGTGTCTCTTCTCCCGGCAGCTGGAGGGGAGTGGGGCTTTCGAACCCTTAAAAGGCTGAATAAGGGAACTAGAAAGGATGCAGACTGGCAGACAACCTGTAGTTAAGGGGTGTCCCAAAACAAGGTCTTTAAGCGCCAAGTTGGAAGAGGAGTCCCAGACCTGCGGAAAAGCGTCTTAGACCTTGACGGTTCCCATCCCGGCGAAAAGGCTTAGCAGTATGGCCACGTGGGAGACCGCCTGTCGGAGACATCTCACAGGATGGTAAACAACCAGGAGGCGGGAGACGCGAGAACGACTGCAAACACGGCGAGGGAGGGGCGAAGCGCGGAGCGTGTGACGTCACCCGTGGTGTGTGCGTAACGTGAGCGGAAGCGGAAGCGGCTCTGTTCGCCGCCTCTCCCACCGGCCCGATGAGCTGCAGCGGCTCCGGCGCGGACCCCGAGGCGGCGCCGGGCTCCGCTGCCTCGGCCCCGGGCCCGGCGCCCGCGGTCTCGGCCCCCGCAGCGTTGCCCGCTGGCACCGCTGCGGAGAATAAGGCCAGCCCCGCGGGGACTGCAGGGGGACCTGGGGCTGGAGCTGCGGCAGGGGGCACGGGACCCGTGGCGGCGCGGGCCGGGGAGCCGGCCGAACGGCGCGGGGCGGGTGAGGGCCGGGACGGGTGAGGGTGAGGGCAGCGCCCAGGGCTGGGTCCAGTGGTGGGTGAGGGCAGAGGATTTGACCTAGCCGGGGCCCCGCATCTCCCACCTCCATGTCTGTCTGCTGGTTCTCCTCCAGCTCCGGTGTCGGCTGGTGGAGCGGCGCCCCCGGAGGGGGCCATGTCTAACGGGGTTTATGTACTGCCGAGCGCGGCCAACGGAGACGTGAAGCCGGTGGTGTCCAGCACGCCTCTGGTGGATTTCCTGATGCAGCTGGAGGATTATACGCCTACGGTGGGCTTCCTGCCTGAACAAGGCTATTGGCGCACTGTCAGGCCAACTTTTCTGCTACACCGCCTGGATTTCCAGCCTCCTTTTGCACTTGCTCCCCTACTAGCTCTGCCCACCCAAACTGAGCTTCCTGAAAGCCAGGCTTGCCCTCCATTTCCCTCCCCATCTCAGCCCAGGGCAAATACTGACAGTCGTCTCATTGATCTCTCAGATCCCAGACGCAGTGACTGGTTACTACCTGAACCGTGCTGGCTTTGAGGCTTCGGACCCACGCATGTGAGTACAGTCTGGGTGGGTAGATTAGAAACTTGAGTGCTAATATGGTTTAATTGTTCCATCTTCTCACACCACTTTTTTCTCTTTAGAATTCGGCTCATCTCCCTAGCTGCCCAGAAATTCATCTCAGATATTGCCAACGATGCCCTACAGCACTGCAAAATGAAGGGCACAGCTTCTGGCAGCTCCCGAAGCAAGAGCAAGGTGTGAGGGGAGGCTCATTGAATCAGTAATTACCTCCCACAGTGTCGGAGGCTTAATTGTCCTGAAATCCCTTTGGGGAAACTAAGTCCTAGGGGAGGTGAAAGACCTACTCAGGGTCACCCATCTGGGATTGAAATCTGGGATTCCTGTGCTCAGCTGGTACTCTTCCCTCTTCCCTCAGGACCGCAAGTACACTCTAACCATGGAGGACTTGACCCCTGCCCTCAGCGAGTATGGCATCAATGTGAAGAAGCCGCACTACTTCACCTGAGCCACCCAACCTAAATGTACTTGTCTGTCCCCTTGTCCCCACACCAGCCTGTTTTCATAATAAACTTTATTGTGACAGGCAGGGCTGGTCCCTCCCATGCTGGGAGATACCGTGTGGCAAGTGACAAAGCTCTGAGCCTAGCCCCTTTGGGGGCTGCAGTGGTAGGGATGGGGGCAGGGGATGGGCCCCATGGCTGGGGTAGTACCATGACTGGAGGCAGGGGAGGCAACCAGAAGCCTGCTGCTTTGGGGAGACATACTCCCCTAACCGTGTCCTGACACCTCTGGAGTTTAGGCAAGGGCTTTCCAGCTCTACTTGTCCTGCATCTTCTCCAGGATAGGCACAATCATGTCAAATTTAGGCCGCTTAGCAGGGTCTTCATTCATGCAGATCTTCATGAGCTTACACACATGGGGGGAAATGCCTGGTGGGATAGTAGGCCGAAGGCCTTCCAGTGCCACCTGCAAATACAGGAAAAAACAAAATGGGTTTCAGAACTTGAATATCCTGTGGGGAGAGGCCTCTAGTCCTCAGGACAGGATTACTGCATATTTGAACAAATATGGGAAGAGCCCAGCCCTGCTATAGTTATTGTTGTCACCACCACCATTCCCCCAACACAAGTGCATACAGTTGTGCTCTCACCTTCATTCCAATCTCCATGTTGGAGAGGTCAGCAAAGGGTACCTCCCGTGTCACCAGTTCCCACAGAAGCACTGCAAAACTCCACATGTCTGCTGAGCGTCTGTTTGTATCTTCAGGCTTCTTCTGCAGTGCTGGAGGAACAGGACTTAACTGTTCCAGCTGCTTGTCCTGTCTCTGCCCCCTTCCATTACTACTGAGCTGGCCCTTCTCCACCTCCCAACATGATGCCCTCCCTCACCTTCAGGGGCCACCCAGGCAGGTGCATACATGCGCCCAGGGCATTGGAAGGAGAACTTGACGTCGGCCATGCTGATTCGGGCAGTCATATCCTCATCAATCTGAGGAAGAGAAGATAGATAATGTGGAAGGAGGTAAGTCCTATTCTAGACAGGGAAAGGGGTCTGGGGGCCTGGGCCAGGAATGAAGTGTGACCTCACCATTACACTACGGCTATTGAGTGCATGTCGTGGGATGAGGGGCTCTAATGTGTGTAGGAAGGCCATGCCCCTTGCCATGTCCAACGCAAACTTCACAGCCTGGCTCTGGTCCACAACAAAATCTAAGGAGGCAAGAGTCAAAAGAGTTTGGGGAGGCTCACACACCCTGCGCCCATCCCATGAGATTTGGTATCCCCTACTCACTGGTGCCTTCATGTAATACATTGTACAGGGATCCATATGGCATCCAGTGTGTGATGAGGGTGGGGTGAGGAGCAGGCGGAGACTGACAGGCACCTAGCACTGGGAGCACATTTGGATGCGAGAAAATCCTGGAAGAGGGAGAGTATCCCTAGCTGAGATCAGCATAAGAGATCTCCCTTTGGGTGCTAGTCAGGGTTCCTTGGAACCAGCAGCTTCCCGTTTAGGCCTTGCCCCACCTGAGACGGGGACACTCCTCGTTGAAGTCCCTGCTCTTCCTTGTACTCCAGTCTCGAACCTTTAGCACCTTCACAACGATGTCATTGCCCTGCCAACGGCCCTTCCATAGCTGAGAGATAGGTAAGGGTTAGGAAGCTTTAACTAAGGCTACTGCTTTCTTGTCCGCTAACTGTAAGAAAAACTTAAAACAGATGCAGGGCAGGTAATTTGTAGGAGATTGGGGAGGGAGGGCCAAGAAAGGCAGGGTCACCTCTCCAGAGTGATTCTCGTTGAGCTTTGCCAAAAAGTTGAGCTGTTTGTAGTCAATGCCGGAGTGTTTGTTCAGAGTCCCATTTCCTGAGAATGTGGGCAGGTCAGGTACCCAAGCTTCACCCTAACCCAGCTCCAACAGCTCAGGGTTATTCCCTCGACCATCCCTCCCCTTACACCTGACTCACGGGGCCGAGTGCGGGTGGTTCCCTTCCAGAAAGTGTCCTTGTATGGAATACGGTTAAGGTTCTGGCCCATCTTCTCTGCCCGCTCTGGGAAAGAAAAACAGCTTTGGCCCCAGCTGTAGTATGGAGCGAGGAGATAGGTAGGGACAAGACAGGATACAAACTGGAGTTGGGGGACAGACCTCGGAGGAGCTCTCTCAGGGGTGCCTTGGCTTTGTCCACAGGCATCTCTCCATACTTGTTACAAATGCTGACAAGAGCCCCATTAGCTACCAGGTCCTGGAATGAAAAGGTGGTTGTGATGATGGGCTCTGCTACCTCCCTGGCAATCAAAATCAACCATCAATACAGATATAGTACCAGATCTGAGTGTCATATATTCAGCAATACTTACAGAACGGATTGAAGGTTCTAGAATCTCCCATTCAGGCTCAGAGGTTGCAACCCACCCATCCCAGGGCTCAGGGCTTTGGTACTCACCTCTGCAACCTGATCTTGGCCCCAAAAACAGGCATAGTGCAGGGGCACGTTTCCATGCTCATTCACTGCATTAATGTCAGCTTTATACTGCAAGAGCTGGTCCCCATGGCCAAGAAGAAGAGGCAGAAGACAGTCAGAGGGGAGATGGGAGTTGGTGTAAGGAGGGAGAAGAGTACACATAATGCTTGTGACTGACTTCCAGACATGTATGTAATGTATGTGACAGAACATTCATGCATACCTTCTGCACAATATCACGGTGTCCATGACTGGCTGCCAGGTGCAGGGGGGTGTCATCCCCACGGTTCATCACATTGATTCGTGCCCCCCGCATGATCAGCATCTCAACCACAGCAGAACGGCCCTCTCGGCAGGCCCAGTGCAAGGGGGAGAAGCCATGATCATCCCTTTGAGGAAGAGACAATGGTCATTGATCTGGAGGTGGGGCAAAGGCTTTGATATGGAAAAAACTGATAGTCATTCTGAAAAATCTCCCTAGAAACCTTGCCTGTCCAGGATTCTGATTCTCATTCATGCCAGCAACTCCCAAAGCCATCCGATTAAGACCTTCAAAGGTCTTCAGACCCCTGAGCTTTAAACCTAACCAACTACCACCTGAAATCTCAACAAATACATATGATTCACTGTCTTCATCAACATCTCCCACTAGCCTTTTTTCCTTGGCATGCCCCATCTCATTAAATGGTAGCATTTTATCTGGTTTCCTCTGCATTCCTTTTGCAACATCTGTTGGTCCTTTTTGTTTCCAATGCATTTCATATGCCCCTAATATACTACTTGTGGCACTGGATTGTAAACATCTTAATGAGCTGTCTTGTCTGCTAGACTGAATTCTTGAGAGAATGGATTGACAGAAGTTGTTTATACATGTTAATACAAGGGAGGGGTGTTTTGGAGAAGGAAAGCCACAACTCATGGGAGAAGAAGCAAGCTTACTGATTGGCTCTATACTGAAACCTAAGATCTAAAAATGGACTGGCATTAAAATAATGTTTTGGAAGAGTTTATAATGAAAAAGAAATACTTTTGATAAGTCATTACTAATGAGGCAGATATCAAATGAGGATTTGATTTGGTAAAACAGGATTCCTCTACTCAAGCAGTCTGAGTCCCAGAAAACAGGAATATAAGAGTGGCTTCTTTAGAAAGAAAACTGACTTTTCCCCTGCCAAGGACCTGTATATTCTAAAGTAAAAGAGCTGTACAAAGAAAAAAGAAGAAAAAAACACTTGGTGGGAGTTGGGCCTGCCTGACAGCCTGGGGCCATAAAAGGAAATTCCCTCCAGTCTGGTGTGTGTGAGGATCCAAGGGGCGGGACAGGGGGGCGGTCTGTGGTCTGAGACCGCAGCCTCCGGATGCCTTAGTGTTGCGGTCACTTCCCTTGTGGGGGCTCTAGTTATGGCCTGAAACAGATTAGGGGTCTGACTGCTGCAGGCCATCCAGATGTCCTCCTCCCACAGGGGATTGAAGTGTGTGCATGACCTTTAATGACTTCCCTCCACAGCTGCCCTCATCTGCTCACTTAGAGATAGCTGAAAGCTTTCCTGGAAGGTTAGCCCCACCTCCCCCTCTCTGAAGCAACCATCCCCTACTTATCAGTGAGTTTTGCCCTAGATCTTTAATTTGTGCCCTGGTTTATCAGTTTCCTGCAGTCTGTGGCATAAGCAGGCCAGTGCCTGAGGGCAAAAATAAGAGCACAGGGTTCCACTCACTGTCAGACTGCCTGTCACCTCAGGGCCACAGACTATATTCCCAAAGAGTCCTGGAGGGAGTTTACCCCACCTCATATCCAGCATATACCTGCTTGGGCCCCCAAAGCCTTTCCCCTCAAACCAGCCCCAAAGGCTTCCAGTTTAATGCCACCCCTTCACCTTTTGGCACTAAAGAGTTTTATAAAATGCAAGTTCCCCTGGCAACTTCACCTAAGCCTTTATAACCCTACCAACAAAGTAAGAGTGCTATCTTTATCTGAGCACCCTTTGAAGAATTATGAAAGAATTACAGAAATTATAAATATATGAAAAATGGGAAAAAGTGACCAGGAATTACAGAGGAATAGCATAAAGGCTAATGAGAACCTGTGAAGTCTAGATGAAGATGACAGGTGATCCTTACCCCCTCAAACCTAAAAACTGAAGAAATAAAATTTTAAAAACCACCATCCTGAATCATCAGTTATCACTACTGCTTTTCTTGCTTGTCTCAGCTAATCTTGAAGAACTTGCCTACATTCACTATTTCCACATCTCCCATTCAACCCACCACCACGCTGTTGCCTTGAGGGCTGGCATGGGCTTCTGGCATAGGAAGTGTCCACAATACTTTAAATGAAGGAACCAGTGTTGTCTGGTTTCTTCATCTGTTTTCCTCTACAGCAGCCTTCACAAAGATCATCAAATACATTATTAATTGTAAATTCAGAAGTTACTTTAAAGTGCTAAAGTTCTTTAACTCGTCAACAGCCTATCCTACTGTTGACCACTCCCCCTTCGTTGAAACATTCACTTCTCTGAGCTTTACTAACATCTTTTCCTGTTTTTCCTGCACCCCCAGTTGCACCTTTTCAGTCTTGCAGGCTTCTCATCCCCTCTCTGTCACACCCATGTCTTCAGGTATCATCTATATGCTAACATCTCCCAAATCTGGGTCTCCAAGTCAGGTCTCTCTCCTGAAATCCGAATCTGCATAATCAACAACCTACTCAACGTTTCCACTCTACTGTACAGTCACTTTAACATGTCACAGCAGCAGTCATCATCCTTCAGCCATGTCCAACTCAGTAAAAGCAACCACTATCTACCTAAGAGTCTGAGCCAGAACCCTGGTCATCATCTTTGCTTCCACACTTCCCACACCAAGTCTCATCAATTCTTTATCCTGAAGATTTCAGGAATGCAATCACTTCTTTCTTTTTATATCAGCCTCCATTCTAGTCTAAGGCATCACCACCTCTGGCACAGACCAAGCAACTGCTTCTCCAAATGGCCGCCTGCTCTTGAGAAGGTATCCAAGATGACACTTAAATGGACAATCTCATCATATCATAGCAGGGCTTTAAACTCTTGTTCTTAGAATAATAACCTTATTATAGTATAAATATTCTTGCATGATCTGGTGGGCTCTTGCAGCAGACCTCTCCAGTCTTATCTCCCGTGGTTTACCACTTGTACCCAATGCTTCAGCCCACAGAAGCCCATAGAAGTCTTCTATCCTCCAGCCATATGGACCTGTAGACAATTCCCAAACACTCCATTCTCTGTCTTGCCTCCTAGCTTTCGCCCGTGCAGTTCACTGAGACTGGAAAGCTCTCTGCAGCCCGTGCCTGTGAAACTCTTATTGAGCAATCAAGATTCAGCTTCCTCTGTGGAGACCCTCTGCCCCCCACAGGCTGTGCTTTGCACCCGTAGTACTGGGTAGGAAAGTCAGCCGCCCCAGCCAACGTGAACACCCCACATCGCGGAGAGGAGCAGCATTTGCCCTTCTCACCCACCAGCCACTTCAGCTCACCCCTGGTTGAGGTCGTTCTCCGTGTTGTCCAGCCACAGGCGAACGGCCACCGCGTTGCCCTCCCGGCACTGAGTGAAAATGTCGTCCATAGCAGCGTCCCGGCGCTGAGTCCCCTAGATTGGGGAAGCCTGCGGACTGTGAAGGTATCCACGGAAGGGGGGAGTGAACCCCGAAAGCTTTGTCCCTTACCGGAGATAAGGGGGTGGGGGTCTCCCGCTGCCTCCCCGGCTAGTGGACGTCTGGGAAGGAGTTCGGCTAGGCGGGATGATCCCTGTGTCCCCTGGGCGCGAGGGTAAGGCGGGTCCGCGCGAAGTAGAATAGAAGGTGATTAGGAAGTAGAGTCTCCTGAAGGGGTGTCGGCGAACAAGCTCGGGGACCCTACCCGAGAACAGACCTGGGGGGAGGGGGAGTTCAGGCGCTCTATACCCTGAGAAAGGCGATCGGGGGTCCTTCCTGGGGGTGGCCCTCGTTCCCTACTCGGTATTCGGGCCGAGTGAAGGCTGACGGTTGGCAGGGGTCGAGCTTTAGGGGAGGGCATGGGTGCTCCCGCACTCACCGGGACTCGGGCTGGAGGAGCCTTCTTCGGGGAACTCCCGTCCGGCCGCGCCCGCCGCCCGGCCCCGCCCCTGGCCCTCTCTGGCCAGCGCGGGTCCCCATTGCTCCCTCCCTCTCGCCTTCCTTGCCCGTCTAGCCAGCGGTACCTAAACTCGATGGTTTCCGGCGCCGCGCTGGCCACTCTAGCCACACAGATTTTCACTCTTTGGTTTCCGGCTCAGTTCCGGCTGCTCTGATCGCCAGGTTTAGTAGAGACGCGCTGTGCATGTGGAGAGGCGTGTGGACGCGGGGATTTCGCCCACCGCACCAGCATGTTTGAGGAGCCCGAGTGGGCCGAGGAGGCCCCAGTAGCCACGGACCTCCGGCCTGAAGCCTCACGGCCTCCGCCTGCCTCAGCCTCGCAAATCAAGGTGAGCAGCCCTGCGCGGAGCTCTTCCAACTGAGAAGCTTACCCTGGTGGATCCGGGCACTGGGGCTCGCTGTGTGTGTGTGTGTGTGTGTTCGCGCGCGCGTTGGAGCTGGGGGGCGCCTGCGGCCAACAGAAGACCTGGGGCTCGCTCTGTGTGTGTGTGTGTGTGTGTGTGTGTGTGTGTGTTCGCGCGCGCGTTGGAGCTGGGGGGCGCCTGCGGCCAACAGAAGACCCCCCCCCCCCCCCACCAACCTTTTCTTTCTCTTTTCATCCAGGCTTTTTCTAAGAGTTGTCTATGCTGTTTCTCTTCATGCTGTCTCCTCAGTTCATTGCACCTTCTTCAGCTTTCAGGGCTTAACTTCTTTTCCCACCATTCCCACTTCCTCCTTCATTCCCTCTTCCCCTTTCACTTTCTCTTCTTTCTCACTGAATGTTGATATACGTCACTGCTTCATCTTTACCCTTCTGCTCTTTTCAATCTACCCAAAGTTTCCTGGAACAAATCAGTCACCTGTATCCACAGCTATCACCGTCTCACTAAATCAGACTGTTGGACAATGATTCCTCAAATGCAAGGTGTATGATACTCAATACTTCATCTTCCTCCTTCCCAATTCCAGACCATTCTCTGGTGTTCCTTCTTGGTAAATGAGACTATGCTGCTTCCAGTCAAGCCAGAAGCCTAAGTGTTATCCTAGACTCCCTATTCCTTACCTTCCCCTTCCCACTACCACTGTCAATCAATAAGTCCTACTGATTTCACTTCTTAAATATATCTTTATCAATCCACAAGTCCTGCCAATTACATTTCCTAAGTATACCTAGAACTCATTTACTTTTCTCCATCTCTACTGCTACTAAATTAGCTTAGAACCATTATTTTCTCTTCTCTGAATTGTAGGAGGCCCTTGAAAAGATGTCCTCACTTCCTGCATGCTCACAAAACCATTTTTCCAGAGTAAAATGCAAATCCCATCAGGTCATTTACTTAAAACCCTTCAAAGATTACTGATAAAGTTCGGGTTTTTGCTATGACTCACAAACCTGATCCTTTCCTTGCTATTTGTTCCTGAGTAACAAATTGCTTATTCTCCCTCACCCTTCCTCCACTTCCTACTTTCGCTTTTGCTTAAGATATTCTGTGCCCTTAACATGACTCCCTTTGCCTGTTTGGTTTCCAGGATTCTTTGAACACCCCACTCAGAAGCCGCCTTCTGTGAACCTTTGGCTCTCTGCAGCTAGCTGATTTTTGTATAGTAGAAAATGACTTGGTATAGCAGAAAAATCCCAGATTTTTTCAAACCAAGCCTGTTTGATTCTTGGTTCTGATGTAGACTAGGAAAGAGACTTGGAGAAGTCCATCTCCGAGTCTTTTACCTCCTCTGTTAAGTGGGAATATCAATACCTGCCTCTAACAATAATTAATAATAATTAAATGGAATGAAGTTGATAGAGTGCCTGACACAAAGAAGTAGGCAGCAGATGTTAGGTCCCTTCCTCCTTTGCACTGCGTACTGTGTGTCTACCTCTAGTATTGTAACTCCAACCTAGTATTGAAAATGCCAGTTTACCTCTTTGCCTCCCTTTCCAAGACTGTTGGTGCCTAGAGGACTAGAATCTTGTCCTACTTAACTTTGTACTCCCAGGCCCTAGCTCAGGATTGGCAAATAGGAATTAAATAAATGTTTGTTGCGTTGAAAACCCCACCCTCCCTGGTGATTTTGCATGTTGTTTACTCAAACTGAAATACCTCTCTTCCTGTCTACAGCAGCTCTGTTCGCTTCCCTGTGTCTCTTCTCCCGGCAGCTGGAGGGGAGTGGGGCTTTCGAACCCTTAAAAGGCTGAATAAGGGAACTAGAAAGGATGCAGACTGGCAGACAACCTGTAGTTAAGGGGTGTCCCAAAACAAGGTCTTTAAGCGCCAAGTTGGAAGAGGAGTCCCAGACCTGCGGAAAAGCGTCTTAGACCTTGACGGTTCCCATCCCGGCGAAAAGGCTTAGCAGTATGGCCACGTGGGAGACCGCCTGTCGGAGACATCTCACAGGATGGTAAACAACCAGGAGGCGGGAGACGCGAGAACGACTGCAAACACGGCGAGGGAGGGGCGAAGCGCGGAGCGTGTGACGTCACCCGTGGTGTGTGCGTAACGTGAGCGGAAGCGGAAGCGGCTCTGTTCGCCGCCTCTCCCACCGGCCCGATGAGCTGCAGCGGCTCCGGCGCGGACCCCGAGGCGGCGCCGGGCTCCGCTGCCTCGGCCCCGGGCCCGGCGCCCGCGGTCTCGGCCCCCGCAGCGTTGCCCGCTGGCACCGCTGCGGAGAATAAGGCCAGCCCCGCGGGGACTGCAGGGGGACCTGGGGCTGGAGCTGCGGCAGGGGGCACGGGACCCGTGGCGGCGCGGGCCGGGGAGCCGGCCGAACGGCGCGGGGCGGGTGAGGGCCGGGACGGGTGAGGGTGAGGGCAGCGCCCAGGGCTGGGTCCAGTGGTGGGTGAGGGCAGAGGATTTGACCTAGCCGGGGCCCCGCATCTCCCACCTCCATGTCTGTCTGCTGGTTCTCCTCCAGCTCCGGTGTCGGCTGGTGGAGCGGCGCCCCCGGAGGGGGCCATGTCTAACGGGGTTTATGTACTGCCGAGCGCGGCCAACGGAGACGTGAAGCCGGTGGTGTCCAGCACGCCTCTGGTGGATTTCCTGATGCAGCTGGAGGATTATACGCCTACGGTGGGCTTCCTGCCTGAACAAGGCTATTGGCGCACTGTCAGGCCAACTTTTCTGCTACACCGCCTGGATTTCCAGCCTCCTTTTGCACTTGCTCCCCTACTAGCTCTGCCCACCCAAACTGAGCTTCCTGAAAGCCAGGCTTGCCCTCCATTTCCCTCCCCATCTCAGCCCAGGGCAAATACTGACAGTCGTCTCATTGATCTCTCAGATCCCAGACGCAGTGACTGGTTACTACCTGAACCGTGCTGGCTTTGAGGCTTCGGACCCACGCATGTGAGTACAGTCTGGGTGGGTAGATTAGAAACTTGAGTGCTAATACGGTTTAATTGTTCCATCTTCTCACACCACTTTTTTCTCTTTAGAATTCGGCTCATCTCCCTAGCTGCCCAGAAATTCATCTCAGATATTGCCAACGATGCCCTACAGCACTGCAAAATGAAGGGCACAGCTTCTGGCAGCTCCCGAAGCAAGAGCAAGGTGTGAGGGGAGGCTCATTGAATCAGTAATTACCTCCCACAGTGTCGGAGGCTTAATTGTCCTGAAATCCCTTTGGGGAAACTAAGTCCTAGGGGAGGTGAAAGACCTACTCAGGGTCACCCATCTGGGATTGAAATCTGGGATTCCTGTGCTCAGCTGGTACTCTTCCCTCTTCCCTCAGGACCGCAAGTACACTCTAACCATGGAGGACTTGACCCCTGCCCTCAGCGAGTATGGCATCAATGTGAAGAAGCCGCACTACTTCACCTGAGCCACCCAACCTAAATGTACTTGTCTGTCCCCTTGTCCCCACACCAGCCTGTTTTCATAATAAACTTTATTGTGACAGGCAGGGCTGGTCCCTCCCATGCTGGGAGATACCGTGTGGCAAGTGACAAAGCTCTGAGCCTAGCCCCTTTGGGGGCTGCAGTGGTAGGGATGGGGGCAGGGGATGGGCCCCATGGCTGGGGTAGTACCATGACTGGAGGCAGGGGAGGCAACCAGAAGCCTGCTGCTTTGGGGAGACATACTCCCCTAACCGTGTCCTGACACCTCTGGAGTTTAGGCAAGGGCTTTCCAGCTCTACTTGTCCTGCATCTTCTCCAGGATAGGCACAATCATGTCAAATTTAGGCCGCTTAGCAGGGTCTTCATTCATGCAGATCTTCATGAGCTTACACACATGGGGGGAAATGCCTGGTGGGATAGTAGGCCGAAGGCCTTCCAGTGCCACCTGCAAATACAGGAAAAAACAAAATGGGTTTCAGAACTTGAATATCCTGTGGGGAGAGGCCTCTAGTCCTCAGGACAGGATTACTGCATATTTGAACAAATATGGGAAGAGCCCAGCCCTGCTATAGTTATTGTTGTCACCACCACCATTCCCCCAACACAAGTGCATACAGTTGTGCTCTCACCTTCATTCCAATCTCCATGTTGGAGAGGTCAGCAAAGGGTACCTCCCGTGTCACCAGTTCCCACAGAAGCACTGCAAAACTCCACATGTCTGCTGAGCGTCTGTTTGTATCTTCAGGCTTCTTCTGCAGTGCTGGAGGAACAGGACTTAACTGTTCCAGCTGCTTGTCCTGTCTCTGCCCCCTTCCATTACTACTGAGCTGGCCCTTCTCCACCTCCCAACATGATGCCCTCCCTCACCTTCAGGGGCCACCCAGGCAGGTGCATACATGCGCCCAGGGCATTGGAAGGAGAACTTGACGTCGGCCATGCTGATTCGGGCAGTCATATCCTCATC